TGCCTGCCTCCCATGGTCCCCTGGAGCTTTCTAGTTGGGTTCTCCCCTGCCATACCCCACAGCTGCTTTTGCAGAGAGCAACAGCGGTCTAATGACTACGCCCACATTTCACCCCCATGACTACTTCTCTTTTTTCCTCGACCTACCTGGTAATTCTTTCCATCTCCTCCTTTTCCTGTCCCTTATGTTGGTTTTCCAGCACTCAGGGGGCGTGGCCTACCTCTCATAAGTACAGGTGCAGGCACAGGTGGATACGAACACCCCACATGCCGATGACACATGAATACCTGTCTCCCACCCAGACTGGCCAGCTCAATCCCAACTCCCAGTAAGCAGAGACTTCACATCTGTGCTTGGCTAGGTCAGGGACCCAGGCTGGGTCAGGCTTTCCACCAGCCACTCTGCATACTGTGCTTGGGAGAATGTGGTGCCATCTGTCGTGCTGCCCACATGATTTGGGAGTTGCCCTGGCCTCTATCTCTCACAGCCACATCCAGTGGTCAGGGATCCTGGGGACTCTCCCTCTGGCTGCCCTGCGGCTGCTCTGTGTCCACCTGGATGGGGACAGCTCTCCCCACTGCCTCCCCTGCCTGTCTGGCCCTGCCCTCCAGCAGGCCACTCTCTCAGCCCAGCTGGAACAGCTTTTTCAAGTTTCAGAGACAAATGTCTTGTTTCTCTGCTTAAACTAAGTGGAGGGGGCACCTGGGTGGCTCAGTCAGTTGAGCACCCAACTCTTGATTTCGGCTCAGGTCATGATCCCAGGGTCATGGGATCGAGTCCTGCATTGGGCACTGCCCTGAGCGTGCAGTCTGCTTAAGATTGTCTCTCTCTCCCCAGCTTGTGCTCTCTCTCTCTCAAAAAAATTCTCTAAGTGGATTAATTCATCTTTGCTGGTACCCTCTGGATCAAGCTTTTCCTCTCTGACTTTATAGTAGCAGTTCCCCTCCCAACACACAACAACACAGTCCCAGGCACACCAACACAGCCCTGCACTCACGCTAGGCTCCCACTCCCATTTGTGTCCATGTCCTGGCGTGAGCGTCTGGAAATGTGCCCTCCTCTCCCTTCTGCAGGCACGGTTCAGGGCTTCAGCCTTCTCCAGGGCCATGTGCCACCCCAGACCTGCCCTGTCCAGGCCTTCGTGTGGACCCAGCCATGGACTCTGAGCTCTGCCCACATGGCTGCACTGAGCTGTGTCCTGTCTGCACTCCCTGGACTGCCCTCCTGTGTGGCACCTGGGCCACTATCAAAGTGGGTGACTCGGTGTGTGTTACCGGATAAAAGGAAGCCTTCCTTTCCCCTCAGGAGTTCTGTGTTCAGACATGGAGTGTTCAGATATGACCCCAGTGCGGATAATCTGTTGTGGTTGTTTTCACTCCGACGGCAGACGCTGATTTAGTCCCATCTTTCTTATCTAGGGTTAAGCATCCATGGCATTCAAGAAGAATGTCCCCCCAATGCTCAGCTCATGCGGCTGGATAACATGCTGCTGGCCGAGGGCGTATCCAGGCCGGAGAGGCGAGGAAGAGGAGGCCCGGTAGCAGCGGCCAACCCAGCAACACCAGGTGGCTGTTCAAATGACAATAGCCTTGAACACTCTGACTACAGGGCCAAGCTGTCCCAGATCCGACAGATTTACCACTCTGAGCTAGAGAAATATGAACAGGTGATCTTTCTGCATGGAAGAGTTTCTATCATGTGAATGCGCATTTGTCAGAGCAAAACGTGGAACACTAACCCCCTTTCTTTTGTGGCACAGACCGGGGAGTACACGCACTTGGTCTCGCGGCAAAGGTGGCCAATTTTGCTGGAAACCCTTTGCATTCACTTCTCAGTAGCCAGCCTGTGCGGAGGCCGCGGGGGGTGGCAGGTGGCTGGTCCCGCGTGGAGCCCCGAGCCAGCCCGCTGGGTGATCACAAGCTGGCATGTGCGTCCCCACCCTAGGCCTGCCGCGAGTTCACCACGCATGTCACCAACCTTCTCCGGGAGCAGAGCAGGATGAGGCCCGTCTCGCCCAAGGAGATCGAGTGCATGGTCAGTGTCATCCACGGCAAGTTCAGTGCCATCCAGATGCAGCTGAAGCAGAGCACCTGCGAGGCCGTGATGACCCTGCGTTCACGGTTCCTTGATGCCAGGTCAGGCCCTGAGCACTGCCCGCAACCCCAGGGTCAGCTCTTAAGAAGAAGAAACGGCTGCTGGCTTGGGTTTAAGTTCTGGGGGCCTCCGAGCCTGTCCAGGGGCTCCACCCATGGCTGTGGGCATAGCCCTCACACAGCCTCTTGGGAGGCAATTCAGAAGTGTTGACTGCTGCTGTTATAACCACTAGAAAATCACAGATGGGCGTGAGGGGACATCACTAGAGGCCAGTGTGTACACACTGGCTGAGGCTGTCCATCTTTGCAGGCGTAAGCGGCGGAATTTCAGCAAGCGGGCCACGGAAGTGCTGAATGAGTATTTTTATTCCCATTTGAACAACCCTTATCCCAGTGAAGAAGCCAAAGAAAGGCTGGCCAGGAAGGGCGGCATCACAGTCTCCCAGGTGACGGTCCTCTCCTGCCATGCCTCCCTGAACATAGAAGGGGGAGAAGGTCACGTCCAGTGAGGAGTACACCCAGGGAAGTTCATCAACTGTGTGGAGCACACAGGTGGCGCGTGAGGTCCCTGACACAAGACCAGTGGAGTGTAGAGGGTGGCCCTCTGTGAATTGCAGTCCTTAGCGTCTAATATCATGCTTGTATGGCAGGGATGTCCTGTGTTGCGTGAGAGAGGTGAGGGTGTAAGCGGAGGCGAAGAAAAAGAGCTTGGAGCAAAATTAGGACTTAATTTAGACAGACCAGCTCTCGTGCCAAAGTACCCGTTCAGCTATACTGGGAGAGGTTTGAATGCACGGGTGCTTGATTGTTTCTCCGGTATTCCAGACTGTGTGGCCAGGTTTGTAGGACATCTGGCAACATCTGGCTCCACATGGGGAGTGGTGGTACAGATCAGAGCTGGGACCTGGACGACCTTGGGAGACCCTGGGAGTCTGGACTGCCAGTGTTCTCGGTGGAACTGGGGACAAGGGAGGTGGCGCTGAGACAAGAGCCCAAGAAACATCTCAGGAGGTTTACAGCGGGAATGGTGAGTACAGGCAGCTGACGGTGCGAGGCCGGGGCAGGCCACACCGCAGGGCAGCACCCGGGCCTGTGGCCCCAGGGTGACTGGCACTAATTCTAGCTCATTGCGCATCACCTTCCGCTCGGAGGCGGTCCCTCCTCCAGCTTTTGAAGGGCAGTTGGATGGCCTGACTTTCCAGCCCAGCCCGGCTGCCTTCAGAACCTGTGCCCTTAGCCAGAAGCCTCTGCCCTGGCCTAGGCCAAGTCTAGCTGCGACTTCATGACAAGCGCACGCAGGAGCCCCACAGGGTTACATATGCAGCAGGACTTTGCTGACACATCTGACTGCATTCACTGGGGAACTGCTCTGCGTCCTCGGCACCAAGGCCAGAGCTGAGGTCAGGTGCACTTGCGAAGCGCAGCGGCCACCTCGTGCAGTTGTCTGGAGGACATCCAGACTCATTTCAGAGCCCGGCGCCTACGGAAAGCAGATGGGTCTCGGGTCTAGACTTCGTCTAAGGGGAGGGTCCGTTGGAAACAAAAGCTTGAAAATCTCTGGCCACCTTCCGGTGACTCCCACTGACTGAGCAGTGGAATTCTGTGCTGGGAGCCACTCCTCACTGTGGCGGGTCCCCCGTGACCCGGGACGGCCTGAAGTGGCGGACGGTCAGCAGAAGGGGGATTCTGAATTTGGGGTGCAGATGTGCAAGCCACGAGGTTCTCATGAGGAGAGGGTAAGGGGGGCACCATTAGCGCAAGTGTCCCAAGTGAGGCCGCAGATGTTCTCAAGATAGAATCAGCTGCAGCTGCAAGCTGAGGAGGCTGGAGGGGGTGAGGGGCCGTGGATGAGCCTCAGATGGGGTGCTGAGGGGAACCTGGGCAGCAGCTGTAGCTGGCTTGGCCGACAGGGCCAGAGGGACTGGGTAGGGGTGGCCAGTGGCTCCCAGCTGCGCTGTTCAAGAGGATAGCCGAGAGCCTGTGCTGTGCCCACACGTGCTTGAGGTGCCCATGTTGGGGTGCAGACCCTGGCCCGGGACCAGCTCTTTCCCCAGCCACCGGGACCCCTATCTGCCCAGGACAGGGCCAGCCTCCCTGCCTTGCCCACACACGAAGTTTGCTCTGCCAGTTAAATTCACATGGAAAACTGCTTGCTACCATTCCTCTGCATACTTAGTTCCACAAAGACGTTCCAGCACATTCCGTGTAGGTAAGTGGGAAGCAAGTGCTGCTCTGGCCACCCTCACACCCAGGGGCAGAAGGGAAGAGACACTGTTTGAGGGACAGGAGCACACACAGAGCTTTTTCTTTTCATGGTTAACACAGAAGATAATGTAGGGACATTAAAGGAATACATTTTTAGAAAAGAAAAGGTCATCGAAACCCTGCCACCGTAACTCAACTATTTATGACTGTTGGTGAAACCACATATATTTCACGGCAGGGCCCCAGGCCTTACTGTGGGATATTAAAGAGTTTCTAGTTGTGTATGTCTCCGTGGAAGGCGCTGGCCCTGGGGTCTCACTGATTCTGCCCCCAGGGGAAATTTCCATTGTCACAACCCTTGGGTGGAGTTGGATGGAGGCCAAGGATGCTGGTCAGTGCCCTCCTGCGCTCAGGACAGCCCGCCGCAGAGAACGACCCCAGAGGAGGAGCCCTGGCCCGGTCCTGGTACAGGTTTGGAGGCCGCTTGGCCCTGGGCCCGGCCCGCTTGGCCCTGGGCCAGCTCCTGCACCCGCCGGGCCTGCCTGCTTGCAGGATGGCTGTGACGGCGGCTGTCCCCCGCTGCTCTGAGGACAGGGGCAAGGCGCAAGTGAAAAGGCACTGGGCTCAGCGCTCGACTCCTCCCCACCGCCCTGTCTGTCCGTCCGTCCGTGTCATCCTTTGATAAGTTGTGGATCCAGTGTGTTCTTTCCTTAGACCGAATTCCCAGGGATGTGGTTAGTGGGTCCCCGGGGATATGTGTCTCCCTGACTCTCACTTTCCCTAAAGAGGAATCCAGAGGATGCTCGTCTCTCCACGTGTCCGACACGCCTGTGTCCTTCCAGCCACTTCCCGTCCCTGGCTCTCAGGCCTTCCTCTGCCACAGGGCAGGCCGGCTCCGAGGTGGCCCCCACCCGCTGCGGCCACTGCCCTGGGTCCATGGTTCAGTCAGCACCAGCTTCTCAATCCCGGCCTCTCACCTGGCCCCAGGGGCCCGTGTTGCCACTCAGAGATGTTCCTCCTGGACAGTGGGAGCACGGGCACCTCAGAGTGCCCACCATCTGTTCACATTATCTCATTACTGGTCAGCTTTCCCAGTGACTTCTTCCTCTGTGTGTCCGCAGGTCTCTAACTGGTTTGGCAACAAAAGAATTCGGTATAAAAAGAACATGGGGAAGTTTCAAGAAGAAGCTACCATTTATATGACTAAAATGGCAGTCGGGGGCCTGGGGAGCCAGGCTAGCTGCCCATCGACACCCAGCTCCGGTGAGTGAGGCCGCCCAGCCCAGGCACTGTCCTTCATGCATGGCCATGCCCACTGAGCTGCAGGGGAAGGGGCGAGGGGGCCAGGGGAGCCAGATGCTGGGAGCTGTGCCCACCACCCCTTCTTGGTTGAGGGGCTGGTAGATCCCACCTGAGGAGTCTCTGTCACTTCTGGGGCTGGAACATCTGTCCCAACACCTCCCACCCCTTCCAGGTTCCTCTGGTCCCTTCCCGCTGACCAGTGCCGGGGATGCACTTGTCACCCTGCAGACACTGGCCTCTCTCCGCCCCGCCCCTGCGGGAGGCAGCTTACGGTCTCAGGTGAGTTTCAGGGCACAATTCGAGGATGCCCTTGGGGTCTCCAACTCAGTATTGGGACAGATATGCAGAGCCCAGGTGGGTGGTGGGTCCTTGGAGTGGGTCATCTTGCCAGCCACGTCTCGGCCTCCACAACCCTCCCTCAGAGGTCCCAGCAATGAGTAGGGGCCCACTGGGTACGTGGTTCATCGTCCTGATGGCTGCAGTTGGACAGAGCTGCCTCAGGGGCACGGCCCTGTGGGGCTCACTTTGTAAAAACCTGTGTGCTTCACTCCCAGTCCCAGGACTCGGTAGTTCACAGTAGCTGCTGGGTGGTGGGCCCGAGGCAAGGGCTGGGGCTGGTGGGATGGAGCCCTCCCTCCCAGTGGACATCTGTACCCCAAGGGGGTAAGAGGGGACAGGCAGACAAGGCCCTGACCATCGGAACATGAAGGCTCTCTAGGCTCAGACCCTTTGCCATGTCAGTGCCTTGGCCTTGCCATAGCCAGGCTACCCCCTCCCCAGGGCCCAGCTGGGCCAGAGTGAAGATCTGTTTTGGTGACTGGAAAGAAAACGAGCCAGGAATCATGGGCACCTCAGATGTGCTCTCTGGAACCTTCTCAGGATGTTGGGCAGTGTGTTGGACCAGCCAGGATGGGGGGGGCCCCATCCGTCTCATGGCCCCTGGTGCCTCCCCTGCATCCTGCTGTCTGTCACAAGGGCCTGGCCCACATACAGGGTCACCCTAAAGAGGATGTGTGGCATCGGGCAGGGCCTTCGCCCACGATTTTCTTCACACAAGTGTACCCTACTGTGCCAGGTGACCCTCCACTGATTTATCCCCAGCCAGCCCTGTGTTGGTGCAGGGAGTGGATGCCCCCTGGAGCCATTTGGCAGGACCTGATGCTGGGTGCTGCGTGTCCCATCACCATGGCAACCCCACAGCCCATAATGAGCACTGGGCTGAACAGGGAGCTCTGGCGCCACCAGGTGGCCGAGCCTCATCTTGCTCTGTGCGTTCCTTGGGGCTCAGTGACTCAAGTATAGTGGGTGTGAGTGTGAGAGTGAATTGGGAGTGAGTGTCCCCCAGAGGGGAGCTGATAGATGAGGTCTGCCCTTACCCCTAGAACCATCCCCAGGAGATCTGGAGCTGCCTAAGTCCTGATGTGGCTTCCCTGTAGGCCTCACACAGCAAGTGGGAATGTCCTCGGTCTGGTGTGGACACCCTTGTGCTGGGCAGGCACAGATGCTCTTCCAAGAGAGCAGGTCAAGGGCTGAGGCCACCCCAGCTGGAAGCCATCACCTCTGCCCTGTGCACTCGAGGAACGTCTGGGCTGCCAGTCCCACACCTGGGCACTCACCTGTCACCTTTCAGTCCTGTGGTTGGACCCCTCCCTTCCACCACCCATGGCCTCCTTCCTGGAGCACAGGCCTATGGGTGTCCTTCTGAGGGCAGAGTGTCCCCCAAGGCCAGGCCTCGTCCCCGCTGCTCTCAGACTGATAGCGGAGCACCCCCATGTCCCAGGATGAGGCAGCGCCCTCAGGAAGCCCACAGTCTGTCTATCGCTCACCTGACACTGGCCTGGGGACACGTGCCAAGCAAATAGACCAGGCAAGGAGCAGGGTCATGGCCTGGTGGGGTCAGATGAGGAAGAGGGTACAGGCAGGAGGCCTCAGCCTGTAAGGAAAATGCTGGAGAGAGGAAGGTGGAGAGGAGCTTGTGTGGTCTCTGGAGGGACCTAGAATTCAGGGTCACATGGAGGGTGTGACATCACACCTGGGAGCCGGGAGAGGGAATGGCCCTGCTCTCATGTGCTGCAAACAGGACTCGCCATGGAGCAGGCCACCCGCGAAGAGCCATTTTTGGTGGTGTTTTCCTTACGGTGGGTGGGGGATCCTGTGGACAAACATCCTGAGGCTGTCCCTGTGCCACAGACAAAGCCCCAGGCCTGGTAGCCATGGCTGTCACCCTGCTGGCTGCCGAGCCAGACCAGCGTCCAGCCAGGGTTCCAAGCCCCTTCCCGCTCATTGCGTCTGGCCGTGATGTTTCAGGGACTGTCATCAGCTCCGGGCCTGACAGGGTCTGCGTCCCCCTCAGAAAGTGTAGAAGCCTTGGCTGTGCCACGATGCCATATCAGTCCCTGACCAGAGCCCCGTAGGTGGCCAGTGGAGGCCGCTTCCTGCCGAGGAAGCAGGTCCACATCAGGGGTCAGGTGGCGAGGCCACCTGTAACTCAAGAGGGACCCCTGGGTCTGCCCCCTGTCTCCTGGCTCCTCTCCTCGGTTCTCGGGGACATGGGGTGGGACGGGCCGTCGGTATCATGGGCGGCCTTCTGACGCTCAGTCTCTGTCTTCTCAGGCCAGGGGCAGCCGGCTGGGAGCCGCCCCCCCGGTGTTGACCGCTTCCCCCTCCGGAGACCCCGGGAGCATCAACTCAGATGCATCTAATTAAGTTTGGGGGACAAGCAGGACAGCAGACTGCGTGACCCGCCACAGTTTGCTGGCACTTGACCTTTTACTGCGCGTGCAGCCCATTATACCTCAGAAAACCCAGAACCGTTGGGTTGCTGCTGTCCGTTGCTTGCCGGCTGGGATTCGAAATGGTCTGAGATGCTCTCATTTTCTCGATTCAGTTTGGGTTTTTTTTTCATAGTAATTTTATGATAAGACTGTGCATTGTTTCTTCTAGGACTTGTCACAATCCTCCCATTACAACTTTTGACTTCTTTTCACGTTGATGTTGTTCACACAAGGTTTGTTTCCGGCCACGGCAGTAGCTGGGCGGTGTCCGAGCCGTGAGTCTGTCTGCTCGTTTGTCCCTCCGTGTGCCGACTGGCCCGGACGCCGCCTTCCCCACTCGCTTCTGCTGTATCATTTCATTATGCTTTTGTTTAAGTCTGTTGTGAGCTCAGAATTTTACTGGGAATTGGTTTTGTATTTTTCTCTGTTAATATAAGTTCTTCCATTCTCAGTTGACGTATAACTAAAGACAATAAATTTCCCAAGTGCTTTCCTGCATCTGTGCTCATGAAGTGCTGAGGGCCCGAGGCCTTCCCTGATTCCTGGGAGTCCTTCTTGGTCCCCTCACCCCTCTCCTCCTCTGCCTCCTCGTCCCTCTCCGTCAGTGAGCGTGGGGGTCAAGAGGAGCTCGGCCCAGCCACGGGTTTGTCACCACACCATGTCCACATTCCATCTCTGTTGCTATTGAAGAGCCGGGAAATGACTCTTTCGTGCGGGCAGTACAAGAGGGCCTGCGTAGAAAGCATCACAACCCGCCTGGGCCAGGCCCCTTCTCCGTAGGTGACCACTGCCGGGCAGGGCTCAGCGTATCCCGCCAAGATGGCCTGTGATATATCCCAGCGTGCGTGTCCCCACCCTGCACACGCTGTTCTCCACACGGTGCAGCTTGGGGCAGCCACCACCTCTGTGTCTGACCAGGATTTTCCTCCAGCGAACGAAGCACCATGGCAGGAGCCCCTCGGCCTCAGCGCTGAACATGTAGTTGGGGCCCACGTCAGTGGCTGTGCGCCCACGATGCCACTCGGCTCGGGGCCTCTGTGGGGCTGCTCTGGGAACCTGCCCCAGCCAGGCGTTTGCACAGTCGCTGGCGTGGCTGCCCTTCCTCTTCCCTCACTGCCTTGCAAGCCTTCAGGGTGGCCGAGGGGCAGCCATCAGGGGCTTCCCGGTGCAGCAGTGGTTTCTCCCTTGCCCTCCAGCAATACTTCACCACGTCCCTGCCAGCAGGAACTATTTGGGTGCTGGGCAGCCCCAAAACTACAGCTGGCTTGGGGGGGGTGTCTCAGTCGGTCCAGGCAGTTGTGGGACAGGAGGGACATCTGAGGTGAGGTGTGGTTCCCTTGCCAGCCCTTTGGCCTTGGCCGGGTCTGTTCAGGTGCCAGCTGGGGACCCGCCCTGCACTGCGGGCTCCTTGCAATGCTCAGTGTGGGTTTTTTATTGTTTGCAACCGAAGGTGGCAGCTGACTCCCTCCTCCTGCCCTAAGTGCCTGTCCCCAGGTCTAACGAGCCTGCTTCCTGGTTCCCTGCAGCCCAAGACTCACTGACAGACCCAGGCCCTGGTCTAGTGAAATTATATTCTAGAGAAAAAGGAGAATAAACATGAGCAGAACTCGGCGGTGCGTTCAGGGCTGGCCTCTGGGAAAAGGTGCCTTCACCCCCCCCCCGCCATTTTTTAAAATTTATTTGTTTTGTGAGAGAGACAGAGAGTGGGGGAGGGGCAGAGAGAGAGAGAGAGAGAGAGAATGAGAGAATCCCAAGCAG